AGTTTTTGGGATGAACTATAATAGATCCCCAAGATCCTATTTTATCTACAAGAAATTATAGATTCATAAAATCTGAGGACATATTTTTTTTCTTCATCCATATCCTACCACTACAACTGCTTGTCGGCTTACTGATAAATAGTCACACATAGAAATGAAGGTACGATTCACACACCTTTTAGTGAAAGGAAAGCTTAAAAACGTTCTCTTTATTAAAAAAAAAGGTATATATCAATACAATCGTAACTAAAATCGAACTGAAAAAGTGCTACAGGTAGCGTTTTTATCTTTGATAAGAACCGTTTCTGTTAATAAGGATGAGGAGGTGAAATACAAGAATGTGCAAGTTGCTTTTTAGGAGATCGATATGACGTAAGAAAATGTTGTATTCGTGACTACAAGACGGTGTAATGAAATCAGTTACATAATAGTTCTATAGCATTGGTAGCAATCAATGAAAGCCGATAGAAAAATGAATAAGAATAGTTACCAATTACATTAGTTGCCTCAAAGTAGTAGTTATTAAGTGCTTACTTTTTTCACTTTTCTCCAAAAATAAAAAAAAGACTTATTCCCCGTGAAGATTGACTATTTTATTGAAATTTGAAAAGTGTTTCCATTGCGAACGTGGTTTCAAGATATTTACGTCAAACTTACACATTATGTTTCAGAAGAATTCGAATTCTTTTCCTTTTTATGAAAAATTGAAAAAAAAAACGCAAAATTTACTTCTGTGATCATTTCAGTGATTTCCGCTGAGAACGACATGAAAGGAGAAGAAAAAATCGACAAAAATTACGGCATAGCAATACGTATCGATAATAAGTGGTGGCGCCACAATAACTTTACGCAATAGAAATGACAAGGCCTATATCAGTTGCTGTTATACATCTGCTGAGCTTTTATGAAGTCTGGTTAGGCTTTTCCTAGCAAGGAGACGTGAAATATCGAACGGGGAATGATTGCAAGGATAAAGCTTTCTTTACCTGAAATAGTCGGGGTCAATTGATATCCCTCAATCTACAGTGGTACCTGCGTACTAGGAATATCTACCAGACGGTATGACTGTCCAATGTCCGTAACCAAAAGCGTTTTTGAAGAATTATAAGAAAAGCTACTCTGGTTCAAATCGTGTCTACATTCACTGCAAGTGATGCCAGAAACACATCCAGAAGATCAGTTCAGCGTTCTTTATCTTCCATGGGACATGGGACATGAATAACACGAGTGTACCACTGTTAGCGCTACAATATCAGATACAACCTCCTATGTGTAATCTTCGTGACATGGACTTCGGAGAAATGTCAAGTTGTGACATATTATCTCATGGTTACTCTTGCGTTGTATAGATTTGGATGTGACGTTTTGTTATACCAGAACATTACCTATTCTGTTGTAAGAGACTCTCCCACACATAATAAGTAGTATTAGTAGTAGCGGTCGCCAGTGGAGCTCAGTGGAGTTGAGTGAGTCATTTGATGTCGGACACTGAAGTATCAACTACCCCAAATAGATTGCTGCGTCATTAACTATTATAACAAGTTCCTAACGTTTTGTACGTCGGACTCTTTTAGGACGACTTAGTGAAATACAAGCCTCCACTGTGAAAATACTTTACAACACATTTGGCCACCGATGATTCGAAACTCATGCGGAGAATGAAAAAAAAAAAAATTTTCGTACGCCTTACAACACATTTTCTCATACGGGAAAAGAAAAAGTTTCCGTTCACTCTATAACAACACATTGGCGACCAGAATTCGAAATTCATACGAAAAACAAATTTAAAGAAAGAAAAAAAAAATTCGCCATATACAACACTTGGCGACGAACGTATTTTGGATTCATACGGGAAAAAAAATTGCGTTCACTCTACAACACGTCTATAACGCCATTATCAACAAGGTACCTTGTCGGCAGGTCATCGTACCATAACTGTCAGGTGTGTCCAGGCCGCATGTGTTAGAGATGTTGGTTCGCCTAAACGCTTCATTGTCTGGTAACCACTACGATGTCAACATTTACGGACCCCAAAAATGATGGTTTATTCCAGCTGGATACGAGCTGGCTCATTAGGCCCAAGTTGCCCAGAAATACTGTGATCTTATGTGTCTCAAGTAGTTTGTTCTTAACGCTGCTCCACGGTGGAGTAGGCAATTTGAGTTTGATCACGATCAAAACTAGACGTTACTTAAGAATACGCTAATTTATATGAGTAACAGAACTAATTTTAACTCGGAACTAATTTCACCTCGGAACTAATTTCAACTCAGAAATAATTTCACCTGTGAATTAATTTAAACTCGGAATTAGTTTCAACTCGAAATTAATTTCAACTAGGAATTTCTTTCAAATCGGAACTAATTTCAACTCGATTTAAAATCAAAGTTATACATTTCTGTGAATTAAAATGCATATTTCTGTGAATTAAAAAGTTGTTCTTTTTTTTAATTTACCATAAAAAATTCTTAGTAGATAATTCAGAATTCATCTTTCCTGCAACTTTCATTCTTTTTCTTGCAAATTAGTTCCGGGTTGAAATTATTCTGCACCCCGTTTAAATGACTTAAAATTGATCGAGTGATGTTTTTGTATTTTTAAAACCTTTTTGGGTTATATAAAGCCGAAACATATTTTTAATTGTAAGTGCAATAATTAATGTTGCAAGTGAATTAATTGTTTTTATTATTAATTAAGATTTTTGCAGATCTTACTATTTAACCCATAGCTGGGGAGATCAGATGCGTTCATATTTATTCTAAGGGAATTTACACGTAAGTGAATGTAACAAACTTGACTGGAATTCGAACTTTGTTTTCCAATTTCTCAGTCCGAACCTCTATCCTTTACATCACCTCACAACCTTATATAACATGGGAAAAAGGCAAACACTGAGAAAACCTAAAATATTTCTACCAACTCCCTTCGATAATCCCCTTGTTTTGTGGTTTCTACACAATTTAAAAGAAACGCTCAAATCTATTGGACTATATTCGATTTTTTTATACTAAATTACACCCAAATTTCACTCAATTTAAAAGTTTTTGTTTTTTTAATCGTAATGAGGTATGTGATAAGAATGAAAGAGGAACGTGTTAGGAGTATAGGTGAAGAATACAGGAAGAAATGATAACGATTGACCTTTGACTCGAAAAATTCTAGATGCACCTAGTTGCTGTTCTTGGAAAAACCCGGAATATCGACATTAATCACTTTCCAGACAATGTACCGTAGCTTCTTTTTTTTTAAATATTTTCATAGTAATTGTTCTGATGAACTTTCCTCTATGATAACCACAGTTTATAAATTTAAGGGCAGTATTAGATTGGCTGCAAAGCCTCATCATTTTACACTTGAAATAGCTAGATGTAACCGTAAGTCCTATGCTAATAGTTTCTTCTATCGCACTCTTTGTTTGTGGAACTCTCTTCTCAGTCAACTTTGATCTTCAAGAATTTAAATGCAATGTCAAACGTCATCTTCTCTCTTATTAATCCTTATTATTTTTTTGTTCTCACCTAAATAATGTTTTTTATCATATTCTAAAACCCTGTGTAGCCCCCTTGCGTCATAGTGGCTTTATTGTCTTGCTTGGGTGAAATTATTAAATTAAAAGAAAAACAAAAGTTCACTATAGATGATTTGTGGAAAGATCAAACAATGTTCTTCGATTGGACAACTCCAGCCTTGATATAAAAACAATCTTTTTCTGATTTTTTATTTTTATTTTTTGCTTTTGTTTTTGTCTACTATGGCTTTTGTAAAATTAAAGAAGCATTTTAAGAATTGCATTTCATATTTGTGTTCCACTTGAGTTTTCGACTGAACTTAAAACCTAATAGACGTTCTAAGTATGGTTTCTCAGTGAGATTGGGTCCATGATTTGAGAAAATTCAAGTTTTCAACGCTGGAAACAGAATGACGCTGCTGTTGTTTTTGAGATACTGAAAGTCAGCTCTTTGTTTTCTTCCTGTTAGAGCCAAAGCAAGAAGAGCTGATCTACAAATCTCCTATCAACTTACGATTCCGTTTTGAAAGAAATTACGACAGGATAAAATGAAGAGACTTTACTGCAATGAAGAATAAAGGTACACACAAAAATATAAGACTATCGAAATAAAACACAGCCAAAAAGTATATACAGGGCACGATTGGCAAATTGTTGCCATATTATATTTTTAATTTCGGGCATGCAACTTGTTTGTTTTTAATTTTGTCGACTATACAGTCTAATAGGGTCAGTTGCGCATCGACTGTGAGAAAAAGAGCACCCTGACACAAATCACTCCGCCAGAAATTTGGAATCTTTGGAGAGTGCAGAGAATTCGGAAAGAGGTGGATGAGTCTAATGGTGATTACGAAGATACAGCACTCACTCTTATGCGTCTGATAAGAAAAGAACTTTTTGGTGAGAACCTCAAACTCAATGCAGAATTCTACATCAAGTTCTTTGAGGAGGTACTGCTGCTCCGGGTCAAGAGCGTGACTGCTCGAAGAACCTATTTCTGGCAACAGGATTCTGTACCATGTCACGCAAGCATGGTCGTCAGACAATTTCAAACTCAGAAGGTAAAGACTGTGGCAGCATTTATTAACTTAAACAAGGAGAGAATCCAGAAATGTTACAGGAGATTCCGAAATCGCCTGGAGGCCGTGGTTGAAACCAATGGGGATTTTATTGAATAAATTTTCACTTCGTTATTTCAAGATATATCTGTTAAAATAAAATGTCAGTGTAATTTTCATTTTTGCGTAATTTAGATGAAAATTTATCCATCACGCTGTGTATTTTACGCGATTAATAGCCCATGTGTTTTTACGGTTCATTCGGAGATATGAATGATATCCTGATACAAGTTTTATTACTTAACCCATATTCAGGGGGAGAAGAAGTAGATTCATACCATCCCAAGTCTATTTGTACGTAAGTTAATAAAACGAGCCCAAGGGCAACTGGAACGCGGCTCTACGACTTCCAATTTACAAAATATATCCAACATAACAACACATAGCATTGCCAAGCGGTCACCCATCTCGGTACTGACCTAGCTCGACGTTGCTTAAGTTCGGGGATCGTAAGATTACCGGTGGTATAACGTGATATTAACGTAAGACTATTACTCGCTCAATAGAAGAACCTAGAGAGAGAATTACTGAATGGGATTGTTTCATGGACGTACGAATTGTAGATTAGCATATGTACGATAGATAACATTATACATTGATCTTGAAGAGTTTAAGATGATGGTGGTCGGGGAAGAATTCTCACAGCAGCTCTCGGGAAGGTGCTCAAATTTAACTTCCTATTTACAAATAGAATGTAAAGCGTCTGAAATGTTTAGCTCTTGTGAACATGGTATAACGGGTGTTAGCTGTAAAGGGCTGAACGCGAGAAAGAAGGCAATGAAGTTCTCCGAAATATTTTCATGGAAATCGAGATAATATGGCAAAAGGCATGCGACGTTTCGTCTGTGGGAAATAATTTAACGCACACAAGGTTGATTTAAAACGTCTGAAAGTGCTGAGCCCCTCAAGCGCACATGTGACAGCGAAATTCTATTTTTGGTTTGAGTTCACTCTTTAAACATAAAACAAGAACACAGGTACTTCCAGGGGTGGCATCAACGAGCAAGTCAATTTTTTCAGCATTTTCAGCGAGGGATAGTATATATGTGTTCCATTTGAGCTCTGAGCTGATCTTGATTCCCAACATACGTTTAAATAAATTAGCCTCTTTGGAGAGTTTTTTACGGTATACTTCACCTTCTACGAGACCCTGGGGTCATTTGAGGTCGAGGGTTACGTTAAGCGGTAGTTTATATGGATAGCTAGGAAGGATAACGGTTGCCTCTATACTTGAACACGTTAATATTGAAGTGATCGCGGAAAAATCCTGTTGGGAGATTGTTCCAGAGAGAAGCGGTCCACGGGAAGAATCTATTTGTGTGGAACTTACTTCTCGCCGATGGCGGGTCCGAGTCGTGCAGGAAGGAGTTGATGCAATAGGCAACAATAAACTACAGCAGAAAATTGATCGCTGCATTTAAATATTGCATTAATATTTAAGCTTAAAAAGGTCACCGATAATTCTTCTGTCGCCACTTAATTTAAAGACAATATGATGTACGTAGGTCCTTACTAGCGGAACTAAAGAGAGAGGTCCGCCACACCCCGCCTATGAGAGAGTTTGGGCGGTGGAAAATAATTCGTCAACTACAAGACTCGGAGACACTTTTGAACTCTATCGAACCTGGGCACTTCCTGTCCACAACAGTACGCCATTTTTGGTCTGAGTTGACTCTTATAAAGGTAGAGGGTAGCATGAGGTCTCGGATACTTATTGGAGCGGCGCAACAATTATATCGTGAATTTCAACAATTCAGCGTCAGTCCAGTGATGCTGAAAAATTACCGGTTTGCTTTTGGAGGTATTGAAAGTTACAGATCAGTTTCTATCGCATTGAGTCGTTAGAGTTAGATTAGACGAGAGATCAATATTCCACGCTCTGGTCATCTAAATGTTTGCAAATTCAGCTTTAAATTATAAGGTTTCTGAAAATAAAATCAATTTCGCTATCAGACTCCATGTCATTTGGTAGCAATAGACGAAAACTCAAAATAGCGGCAGACAAGGGAATATTTTATTTGTTTCCAAAAAATATCTTCAAAAATGAAATTTCACATATGTCATGATATTTGATAAAAGGTACTTTGCAGAAAAAATATATGATATACTAGCTTAAAAACCGTACTATAGGGTGGCATTTAAGCTAGCCCCTGTAGAGGTCTCTTGATTAGGCCTTGATCAAAATAGGTAGGAAGGGGTTGATGCAATAGGCAACAATAAACTACAGCAGAAAATTGATCGCTGCATTTAAATATTGCATTAATATTTAAGATTAAAAAGGTCAACGATAATTCTTCTGTCGCCACTTTATTTAAAGACAATATGATGTACGTAGGTCCTTACTTTCTTTACATTTTTTCATCATGAGTGACTTTCACTGGATTTCGGAATTAATTTTTAATTACTCCCAAATTTATTTCCAAGTTATAAAAATCGTTATCGCATAAAATTCGCGTGAAAAATCGCGGGAAAACATCGCGGGAAAAAATCGCAAAAATGAAAGTGAAACTCGTACATACGATCCATTTCAAAAGATGCAGGTATAATAGTCGTCTCCCTGTACTGCTCCAGTAAGTAGCAGACTGTTCCTGCTAGTCTTTACCTTTAAAAGAGTCAGATCAGGCCAAAAATGGAGTACTGTTGTTATATTTGGACAGGAGCTGCCTAGATGTCACTCTCCCCACCTCCAAACTCTCTCCTACAGGCCATATGTGGCAAGCCTCTCGCTGATGGATCGCTACTTCTACGGAAAGTACGAAAACGAACTCCATTCCCTGGTCCAGTCGAGATAAATCTTCACAGAAAGAACACCTCATGCCGCTTACATAGTAGCAAACCACCCACATTTCCTCCATTGGTAAGAAGTTCCACTCGAACAGCCTCTTCCCGCGAACCACTTCCCTAGGGGAGTGACTTCCAACAGGATGTTTCGGCAACCACTATCATTTTAACGTGTTCAATCTCAATCTTAACCGTTATCTTACACTCCTATACACACAAATGGCCTACAAATGTATCCCTCTACCTCGAGTAGCCTCCGGGCCTTATAAAAGCAGAACATCGCTGTAAAAAAAAAAATAAATAAAATAAAATATCTGTCCATGTCTCTGTCCACCTATTTCTCTCTCTCTCTCTCTCTCTCTCTCTCTATATATATATATATATATATATATATATATATATATATATATATATATATATATAGTGTTGTGGGTCAGCATATCATTATTTAAACATATATTATTAAATATAACAGACAATGAATGCCTATTAAGTCTGATCATGAAACGTTCTAATGTTCGAATGTTTCCTTTAATTTCTTGTGAAAATAAAGATAAAAATTGTCCAACATTTGGATATTTTTTTATTAAGTAGGTCCTGAATATAAGCCACCCTCAGAGTAATTATACAGACATGAAACAGATATCCACCGTCAAAGATTTTTGTTATTTTGACATCGAAAATTGTATGCGACGATAACGGTCGCGGAATAGCAGACGGAGATCGTAAGTTCAAGATGCGGTTCTATGACGTCGTATCACGCGATAGACCGAAGTATTACAACAGAACCAATGTCTAGATGCAATGTAATGTGTTGTGACTAGTTTGTCATGTAATTTTGTTTAGTGTGGGTTACTTCGGTTTAATGTAGGTGGCCTCCAATATCTGAAGGTTCTTTTTACTGTGAGTATCTGTGAGTATTATTGTGTTTGCCTAATAGAAACTAAGATCTAATTTACCTCTCACCATTCTGATCTATTCTGTACAGTCGACAATTATAAAATGGCAACAATTTACCCATCCCCATATATATATATATATATATATATATATATAGAGAGAGAGAGAGAGAGAGAGAGAGAGAGAGAGAGTTAAACCTAGAGAACCAGACAAACCTACCAAGGTTTCACCTAAGCGGATCGTCAGGGAATCCTGCCTTACCTGTAACCTTGGTAGGGATGTCTGGCTCTCTCGGTTTAACTAGGTCTGCTCTACTCATAGTATTCAGCACTTTATTTAGTTATTTGGGGTATTCAGATCAGGGTTTTTTTTCTTTGGGCCTTGGACTTGCATGCTAGACGATTATTTTAGGCTGGCGTACATGTTCTTGGTTCTTTCTTTTTATATACCTTTTTTCCCCTTTGGTATTGGCTTGTTGATTTGCAAATCAACACACCAAAGTTTCTCCGAGCGAGTATAGTTTCTTATACTTATAAGATTTCTATTAATAATATATATATATATATATATATATATATATATATATATATATATATATATATGTTCAGTTGAAAGTTCTTTCAAATTTATGTAGCATCTATCTTGGCCTTTTCAGATATAACATCTATCCGACTATGCATTACCTGCTCTAACATCTATATAAATTTACCTTATCCGATAGAATATCTATGGATGTCTTTTAATATCTAGCAATTATTGCTTTCTTTCAGATCTAACATCTATGTATCTTTGCCTTATCAGATATGATATCTATCTCTGCCTTTTTAATTTTAACATCTATCTATTTCTGTCTTTTCAGATATAACATCTATCTCAATCAGATCAGTTTTATCTCTCACTCTCGTTGTCTCTTCTTTCGCTCTTTTCATCACAGATCATCTGCGACAATGTGTGCGTCAATTTTCTCTGGAAATTACTTGATATTTTCCTACTTTCTCCCTTGAATGAATTTTTTACAACTTCGTTCAACAGAGTCATTAATAAAAGACGCGGAAAATATTGCAATCGAGGAAATAGCATACGATTCGCCTTTCCATTACTTTATTGAGGCGAACTCTACCTGCTGTGAATCATCTATATATCAGAATTGGATGTCAGTCATGATAGGAAAAACTTCAAACATTACAAAAAAGATCAATATCCTCGTCTGACTCAAACGATGCCAAAGTAAAATAACGTATGGATCCAAACTGTACAGCGAGGCGCTTTGCAGACGTTCGACATCGCAATGTCGACCAGCCATTTTCCGTTCCTCTTATGTCTACTGGAATAGAAAAAAAACGGGGTCAATGAATCTAGACGTTTCTTATTATCATTTGTTTGTTTGTTTGTTTTTTTTTTTTTATCATTTTGCCCCAAGCAAGGCAACAGAACTCAATTAGTTTGGTGTTCTTTTACATATTAAAAATTTTGTGAAATAAATAATTATTCTGTTACACGATTTGGATAATCTTGCTGTTACATCCGGAATGTACAACGTATATTCACATTAATATATTTCGTATGATTTTATCGTTTTAATAACATTGTTTTCAGTACAGGTTAGTTCAGTTCTTTGAGGACACGTCTTTTAATATGTCCCTGACCATCATTTCTTTTCACTAGGACGCGAAAGGTTACTAAGTGCTGGAGAATATAAAAAAAACTCAACTAATGAGAGAAAACAATACAAGGATAAGAATTAAGAAGATAGAAAATAACGATTGACATAATAAAGATCAAAATTGTCTGGGAAGCAAG